TATTAAGTTCCCTGACTTCTTTTTTTAGCTTTTCTTTTATGTAAAGCATATTGAGATTTATTGGAATGCAATATCCTAAATAATAATAATAACAATAATAATAATGCTTTTTATTATTGATTATCCTGCTAAGTATTTTCTGTAAATATCTATTTTTGTTACAAGATAACATTATTTATACATTTAATAAACGATAATACTCAAACTCCAATGTTTATTGTATTTACAGGAGGTTATACTTTTATGTATTTGTATTTTAAGTTACATTATGCTATATTTGGAATTTTATTATTTTGATTATAGGATTTTAAAACTTTTTTTCATTTTTCACTTTCTACCTCTACATCAGCAGGGGAAGTTTCTCTCTCTACCCCTACCTTGTAAAAGCAAGGGCTTGTAAGGCCGCAGCCAGTTATAGCCGAGAGGGTGGTGCTGTGTCTGAAGCACAAGAGTGACAGAACAGCCAGGGAGACCCGGCTGATTGAGGGCTTGGATGCTCCTGGACAGAAAAGAAGTGAAATTGGAAACAGAAAGTGATAATAGAATAACTGATTACTGACCAATGGGGCTTAATAACCCAGAATATGATGAAAAAGAAAATAAAAAAGTCAAACAGCTGGTCCCAGCTAGTCAGCTAGAAAAGAAACCAAGTGAGACACAATTGTCTGGGAGATGCCAGCTGTTTGTATCCCTGGTGACCAACGGGCTAGCCCCAAGTTAGACTACTCATCTCAGCCCTCCACTGGGACTTTCGGGTCTGAAACAGAACTGGCTACTAAGCCCCCAGAAGGAAAGGTGGCCGCACGGCTCTGGCAGGCAGCACTCCAAGTAGCCAGGGGTGCTCTCCAGCAAGCCCACAGGCTGATGTACTGGACAGAAAAAGGGAAAGCAGTCTCCTCAGAACACAGCTGTGCCTTTACCCGGAGGCGTAACTGAGAGGATGGGCCCCACCAAAACCGGTGAGTCAGGAAACCCCTGCACAGTGGACCAGTCAGAGGGCCCAGGAGCCGGTGATTCAAGGCACATGCTCTATGGAGGGTTTCCTCCAAGACTAGGCCAGGCGGGCGCTGTCAGGGTTATTATAGAATTAACAGATATTAGAGATTTTATAGCTGTTATTAAAAATTTCTAAAAATCTTCCTTTATCTATCACCAAGACAATAAGACCCAAGACAATGGGTCAGACGTCACTAACCTTTCAATCTGTATGATCAACCAATGAGGGAGCTAGAGGGTATCAAGATATATCTACTGACATCCCAGTCAGTCAACAACTGTGATTTCCTGTTTTATAAGGTAGCACACAAGTCATTTCATTGGTTTGCTCACTGGCTCAGCTTTTCTCTCTCCAGCTAACCTGGCAATCTGACTGTTTTCATCACATGACAGTAAGCAGTCTGAGTCAGGATTTGTTCAAAGACTTCAGGCTGAGAAAGTGCAACAGTAAAAAACAGAAGAAATCTTGTTTTTCATGAGACAGTTGTTATGTGTTGCCTTTTCGGTTCTTTAGTTAGACGCGTTGTGAATGAATACATATTTACTTGTCAATGTGAATATGAATGTGAATGTGATTTTACCAATGATATATGATATACAGTATAAAAGATACTGATTTGAGATTCATATACCCTATGAGATAGACGATAACAGTAGTTGATATATATTTAACTTTGTTGTTATTTACTCATCTTTAATCCCTGAGTAACAACAAACAATTCATATTACAACAGACAGATTCACAAATACATTCTTTGACTCTTGTTGGTTTGTAATGCATGTTTTAGTGTTGTATCAATAAAGTGTATATTGCATATTTAGAATCCATGTGTGAGATGTTAAATTATTATGTTTAATTGAGTCCTGCAGTAACAGTCACCAAAGCACACTCATTCACATACACTGACCTAGTCTGTCCTTCTCCTGAGAGACACTCCCACACACTAACCTGTTTGGTCAGTCTCCTGAAATCCTCCTGTGTGGAAATTCTCAAGATCATCTGTAAGGTCACTCACAGCTCTTCCCACATCCTGAGCATGAAGAGCAGAGAAAGGGGTGAGACTTCAGGAAGAGGCAGAATTGGCAGATTGTAAAGAAATCAATAGATCTAAAGTTTTCATAGAAAGAGAAGGACAACATCTATAGTGAAAACAGTTCCGCAGTAAGAATAAGAGACCATCCCTCAGTGTTTCTGTACTGAGATACTGAGTTCTGGTCACTAATGTTTTACACTGCACAGTACATGTGAAATAAAACAGCACACAGACACTCAGCTGCCATCAGTGATAAGCGTGTATTAATTCAGTCACACTGGTCACTACAGATCTCTGTGAGCTCAGGGAAGAGATGGCACAGCACAGAGTCACTCAGCCCTTAGAGTTTCACTGAGAATCAGCAGGTGAAAAGAATGTCAGTTTTCAGAAAAGGTCTGATCTCATCGCAGATGAGTGACTGAAGCCTCTTACCTGTGTCTGTCGCTCTTCTGACTTAAAGATGGTGTCATGGCCCATGTGTTCCTGCACTGAACACAGACTGCAGATGAGAGTCTGGTCAGTCTTACAGAACACCTCCAGAGCTCTGTGGTGCTGCTGACACAGTCTGGGCTCCTGGTCTCCACTGATGTCCACCAGTCTGTGTTTCTGCAGGGCTGGGACCGTGTAGTGCTGTCGGACATGTATCTCACAGTAGGAGGCTGGGCAGACATGACAGTATTTCACAGCTCTCATCTTCTTGTCAGTGCAGAAATCACAGGACACATCTCCTTGCCCAGCAGACCTATGAGCA